CGCTACTCGTGTTGTGGTCCTGGGGAACAAGTGTCAGTGTTATCTTATCAAATTTATCGCATCAGAAACTCCGTGGAACAGCGGCGTTCTTGAGTACCTGATGCAGCGGATTCCGGTAGATTGGGCTATCGGTTAATCGGGGCAGCCGCTTAATTAGGCCGAAGTGTTTTGGTCCCGATGTGTCCCAGTTAACCGGAATCCACTGTATTCCGTTCGGCTAGCCAAGAAATTCTCCGTCTTTTATGGAGCCCGAAGATTCGTTATTGTATTTGTAGCCTCAGCTAACGAGCTAAATAACCAACTAACTAACCGAGTGTGTTTCACTATGGACATGGGAGAGACACGAAGACAAAAGAAGACCTCAATGCGACTAGAATGAACGTAATTCAATGTGAGCCTAAGGTTGTAACAGCAGCTGACTATGACACTGAAGTGTTAAACTGTCACGTGATGGCTAATTCGCAACATTCCTGATTTTCTGACCGACCGTTGCCCTGGAAACCGACATTTCAGAAAATTTCTCGTCTTGCTTTTAGTTCGCTCCATAGACATCGTTAACAAAGTGTCTGTCTTCTGGGTTGTAGCGCCGCGTAGCCTGGTATAAGTTTACCGACGTCTTAGAGGTCCTTGCTGCCTCCATCATCAGGGCGATGAGTCAAGCCCTGATGATGGCGGCAGCAAGGACCTCCGAAACAACCCAGAAAACATCATATTGTACAAATTCAGTACAGATTTGTAGACTTATTTTCCGAAATTCGGCTGCTCTCTCTGAAATGAAGGATCATTGTTGTGGATGGAGATATTGTGACGTCGCAGAGCGCTAGTTGACGCACCTCAAACATGAATGTGTCCACTTCCTCTCTTCTTCGTCCGTCAGCTTGACGCCGTCGAGTGACGCCTCCAGCAGAAGATACGGTAACACTTCCCTCTTTCTGTTGCCTTGAAACATGAAAAAAGTCTCGTTTCATGAACGACGACCTTGTGGGTTGCAGGCATAGCCAGTTGAAGTTTGATGACGGAGATAGTGTTTTTCCGAAACACGGGCATGCAGCCAAAATACTTCACGGCCTTGCGACTTAGGGCGTCGTCAGAACGTCAAATACTGCTTAGCTTGACAAGGGTCAGTTGGTTAACACTTTTTAATGAAATAATCGCTGTTTCCTATCATTATGAGAATCATATCAAATTTACAAATACACTCTGACTTCAAAATGTTTGAGCAGATGGCACGTAGAGTTACCGCTAGGTTTTGAATTGGCAACTGAACCTGTGGTAATAGAAGCCAAAGTTTCGTCTCTGTCACAACGAACCCCGACAGTGGATCCTGTCCAGTGTAGTTGACCCACACTCACCAACAAAAGCGTCCTCGTCAGGAGACGTGGTTGGGGATCTGATGGACGTGTTCTCAAGTTGAGACTTGCGCTCTCTGAGCACCTGTAAATCACATGCTACAGGGAGTTTCAAAACATATAGAGTGGTGCAGAATTCAGGGCACATTTTAAGTGGTGGTGCACATGAATGTGGTTGTTTCTGTACGATTTTGTATTTGATCACTTTTAATGTCTTAAAATATATCCCAGTAATTTTAGATTCCTTAAATGTGCCAACAAATATATCGAATAAACAGCCGCGGGCATTTGATAAGGGGTGGTCCTCAAAACGTGTGGTTGGGCGGGTGGCCAACAACTGCATATCGAAAAAACAGCTCGTTGCGAAATTTTATGCGAAGTATGAGACCTGGACAGTTTCTGTGGATCGAGACTGTCAGTGGAAACTAATTTTAGCCACTTGCATTGTTAGTATCTTGTTTCTCAAACACATTTATATATATATATATAAATATATATAGACATTAAAATATCAAAATATAATCATTAAAATATCAAAATTTTGTTTATCAGTCAGAGTTATGTGCTGAGATGGATGAGAAGGTATAAAAATTATGAACCGCGTTAAACAATGCCGTACCAGATTTATACGTAGTTCATTTGTCGAGAACCAGCGAGGACTTTTGAAATGTATTATGCGTGATAAATACAGACTTACTTTAAATCGGCTTAAAATTTGCAATTATAAATTTATATTTCTAACAACCATCCTTTCACTAATTATTAACAGCTCTGAAGTTTAATGTATTGACATTTTTCATATAATTATGTTATTGCTTTCCTGCTCACGTTTAAGATTTGTGGATTCTGGAGGGAGTGGGTTCAAATCTCGGGTTGGCTACCACTATACGACTGAAGCATGTTGTGGTTCTCCTCAGTTCTTTCAGGCTAATTCAGCAAATAGTGTGTTAAATTATACGACGATCCAAGCGGTTTGTCATCCATGAACCATATGCCATTCGATAATTTGACGCTTTGTAATTTTCGTAATTTAAGTGTCGTCAAGGAAACAAGGAATCGCAATAAATGTGCGTCCTATTTACTCACGTTGTCTAGTTCCGGGGATTAGCTTTATAAATGACGCTGTTCAATTATCGCCGTCACAGTGATCAAATGCTGGAACTATAAGTTTTGTTTGGCTGAGGAATTCAAACACTGAAGTTTCTTGGGATGCATAAATGTAGATAGAACGATAATATTAAAACTGATGTTAGATAAATCTGTTTCAAAGTTGTGAAACACGTAGTATTGTGTTTACATTACGTGAACGCATTGATAAAGCTGTGTGTTTAAAAAACACTGAAGTTGTTTGTCAACTGATTTGCTATCTCTCATGTATTTGTGTAAACAGAGGTGACAAGAATTCGCGCCTGTGGAAGTGAGCAGGCCTGTTCCAAGCCACTGATGCAGAAACCTGTAGAAGCGCCCTTTGTCCAGGTGCTCGCTGCTCTTTAGAATCAACTGAAAGGCGGATGAATCAAACCGAGGAACAAATACAGAATGCCCCTTGAAAATATTCAAAATGGCCACCGTCCGTGTCTTCTGTTAATACAATATACGGGTATCGATAACTAGGTTAAGTTTGACCTTCAGAATTCTCAGAATTTTGCAGAAAACTTGTTTCTTGACAAGATTTTTCTTAAGATTAATTGTAATCAAATAAATATTTTGAAGATTTCATTTTCAATATAAACTGTTTGTTTTATGTGTTATTCATATGTACGATCTAAAGCTTTCACAGTGACGAAGTACAGTGAAATTTTTTTGGGCTACCAGCCATGTTAGGTTTTTGAAAGGCGAAAAGGTGTTTTAGCCTTTCAAACACCTGTCATGGCTGGTAGCCTTAAGACGAATTCATTAAGGGCGTATTCGTATGCTTAAATGCTTTTTGTTTCTTATTAAAAAGAAGTAAAAGGAAAGCTGTCCTACTATACGCCATGTAGTAGCTTGCGGGGGGAGAGGTATAGTTCCTTCTCATTCCTGACCTTGGCACTAGGTCGTGGTGAATGGTCAGCATCACGTCCCAGCCGAGCTTAACCCCCAGAAAAGGACCCCAGTACCCACTGGATAGGAGGCTGGGTGGGCTCCAGAGCCGGTCTCGATGCAGCGGCTAGGAAACACGTATAATTAAATAACGAGTTCTACAAAAAGTATTATTTTACGTTGACATTCACAAAACGTTATGGCAAGGACAGCCGGTGGTCTTAAGGTTAGCCAATACAGTGTTTCCTTAAACTTTTAGTTAGGTCTGACAGTTCCTTGCAATAACAGGCTAGCATTTATAAACTATTGTTAAAAAGTGGCTCGCTCTTGAGTAGAGCTTCACAAATGATATGAAGTCTTGCGTAGCTGAAGACATGCCAGTCTATCAAGAAGGACTCTGCTCTCAGAGAAAGAGGTATGCAGCGTGTGCTTGGGATGGAAGATATAAGAAATTTGTAAGAAATTCAGCTTGAGATACAGAAGGCAAGAAACCGCTTGGAAATCCAGGCATAGATGAAAGGATAGTATTAAAATAGATCTTATAATATTTATACATATTTTTGGAACGTAATGTAGATATATGACTGTATGTTGCGGAACGTGTTTGTTATGCTTTACACTAAATACGACATAGAATTTGGAATTCTTATGAACATTGTAAATAAATTAATGACTTCTTCTCGTACAGCCCACAAACTGGTTGGCTGTGCATGCAACACGTTACGGTTTTTTTATTACTATGAGCTTTTATATCATACGTTATTGATCAAGTTCTCAATATAAGCGCTAGATTGCGCTGATGTTGTATTTTACAAGTACTGCTGCCATTTGCTAGATTTTGGAAGTAGCAGCGTATTTCTGAAGGTTGATTTTTATGAGAAGTGTTAAAATCATCTCTTCATGTTCCGGCCTCCTAAATTGACAATGGTCTATGAAATACTGAATTTATATATTATTGTCTGAAATGTGGGATAATGATGATGAAGTCTGGATTTGGGAGGAGAAATTAAGGGTCATGGGCTAGTTTATGTTTCATAAAAAAGATGTGCATGAAACAGCATTTTAATTCTTAAAACAGCATCTTAAAGAAAAATGCATTAATTACATGAGTGTAATGCTTCAGTCAGCTGTTCTATGTTGTAAGTTACCTACAGGAAAATCAAAGATACCGATGTGTATATTTCATATTTCTGTCACATTATGCCAGTGAATTTATGTGAAGCGTGAATGGGATACGGTTTACACAGTAAGCAGAGTTTACTCAAAACAAACTAAAAAGAATTACCGTACATGTTTTTAAAATTCATCATAAATATTAAAACCAAATTTTGACTGGTTTAAGGCTCCTGATATCTCCCAAAGAAAAGGGAGTTAAACGGTATGAAGCGTGGGTGACCTCTGGTGGCATACCTTCATACCAAAGTTTGTTCAGCACCAGTGTTGTAATAAAGCAGCTAATCAGACTACTCATATTTATATATTTTTTGTCCATTTGTTTCACTTTTCAAGTCTTTTATGATTTCAGGAATGCATTATGTAGGAGTGTTTTTTATTTTTTTAATATAAGGTTAGGTTAGGTTAGGTTAGGTTAGGTTCACATCAATT